GTGTATCTTCCTACCAACTTGAGCACTCCCAATATGATCCACCATATTTCACTCTGTACTCTATGCTCTACCTTAGCCATGATAGTCATAGTCATATTCCCCAATCGGGCGAGCGATAATGTGCGAATCAATGTTATTGCCGACAGCTCACGAGAGTACTTGGGAATAAACTAACGGTCAAGCTATAAGATAATCAATACCAACGTCCTCACTAATCCCCATGGAATAGAGGTTAGAAGCTCTGGCCATAACCATGATCGCAAATACCTGATCATAGCTCTATATAGGCCGGAAAATCACGTCTTGAATAAGTTAGCAATATTTTCGAAGCTTCCGAGCCGCATCCCCCTGGAGCCCAGTATCGTCTCCAATTCGTTGTCTTCATTTACTTAGTTCATACCATTGGCTGTGGACTGTCGTCACTCATTAATACGATTACTTCCCTTGCCCGAATTTGTTGAGTTTCCCCTAGTGCACACACTAGGAGGAGTCGACAATACCAACGGCAATGGAGCCCAGCAGAAGATACAATGTGGCGTTGTCAACTACATATTTTGGTGACAATATGGAAATTCTGAGGAAATTCAGGTGAAATTCTTGTTGGCTTCTCTACGTTACTCCTCGAATTCATATGTAATTTCCTATAACTAGCAAGGAAACTCTCGAGCTCAGCTGAGGAAAGCAAACATATATTCCTACAACACTGAGAAAATACAGTGCGTGCCAATTTGATATGCAAATGTGTGTTATTTTTCGAGGTTGATGAAAATCAATGTGAAACTCTATCGCATACACGATGTAACAATGGCTATGAACATGTGTTGTGATGAAAGTACCCGTTTAGAACTGTGATAGCGACAAGTTGTTCACTATAATTTTTCTTTCAAAGTAACACGCATTTGCATGTCAAATTGACACGTACTGTATTCCCACCTTTGAGCAATTCTTTTGCGACTTGATATCAGAGCACCATTTTCACTGAACTGGGTATGGAATTGGAGTAGAACATCAACAAGGAGAATCCTGTCGGGCATACAGAGCTCAGGTGAACACACCAGAGAACTTTCTCACGCATCTATGATGAGGTGCGACAAGGGGTAGCCTTCCTGCGCCTATAAGGCGTTTATTATTTCAAGTGGGAGAAGCTCGACTTACCACAAATGCTGCTTGGAACGGTACTCCGATAATTACAAACACCAAGGCTGCTGCCAGGATCATATCCCACAGTATTCGACCACCTGATCGGCCCGATGTTGATGTTGACGAAGTGCATTGTATAATATACGATATATGAATATACGACGTGTGTTCCCACTACGATAGTATACGGCACTTCAGCATACCACACCATTTCACGACTAGCTTGGTAAAAACCCAGACCAAATTTGTTGAGTATTACTGATTTAGTCTGAGCCTATTGAACTGGGTTTGGGATTTACAACATTGATCTTGCCATCATTAAGTTGGTCTAGGCTTTCACTAAATTGGTCTAGGCTTTTACTAAATTGGTCTAGGCTTTTACTAATTTGGTCTAGGTTTTTACTAACTTGGTCTAGGTTTTTACTAATTTGGTCTAGGCTTTTACTAATTTGGTCTAGGCTTTTACAAATTTGGTCTAGGCTTTTACTAATTTGGTCTAGGCTTTTACTAATTTGGTCTAGGCTTTTACTAATTTGGTCTAGGCTTTTACTAATTTGGTCTAGGCTTTCACTAATTTGGTCTAGGCTTTTACTAATTTGGTCTAGGCTTTCACTAATTTGGTCTAGGCTTTTACTAATTTGGTCTAGGCTTTTACTAATTTGGTCTAAACTTTCACTAATTTGGTCTAGGTTTTTCTTAATTTGGTCTAGGCTTTTAC